GTCGCTTGCTCTAACGGACTTGTGGCCTTAAAACTCTGAAAGGACTTTACATGAGCGTCTGAGAATGGAATAAAACCCAGCATGTTTACACTTAATAGCCGTGACTAATGTTTGAAATTGTTATCCTGCTAGAACCAGGGTTGTGTGAGGTCACAAGAAATGAGGTTCATGCCTATTGCAGACGCTGTTGAAAGTTCCTCCCACATCCATTCCATCCTCCTTCCTTACTGAGAGAGTCTTGCTTAGGTTCCTGACACTCCTCCCACGTGACTCAATGGATAAATCCAAATCGGTGAGGTCAGTCGTAGTGGTCTGGTTCTCTTCATTAGTGGTAGGATTAGGGCAAGCATGTGACCCAGCTGGTCACTGAGGTGTGAGGGACTTAAGGACCTCTGGGAAAGGACTTATCACTATTAATAAGGTGAAGCCTGAAAAGAAGTGGCCTTTCTTCTTCTTTTGAATTTTGTCTTGTCTGGATGTGACAGCTGGAACTCCAGCAGCCATCTTGTGACCATGAGAGAAGTCAGCTTAAGGATAAATCTGAACCCTGGTGGCAGAGTGGGAAGATGGAAAGACCCCTATCCTTGAGGATATATTTGGGTCACTGAATTAAACTGAACTCAACAATGTTGAATACTACCTCCCTCTGGAGTTCTGGTATATGAAATAATAAATCGACCTTTTATGCCAATTTGAGTTGAGGGCTTTCAGTTACGAACATCCAAAGGTATCCTAACTGGTACAGTGGTCATTCCTGAAGGTCTACAAAATAGTCTCTTTTCCATCTAGAGTCATGTGGAATCATCCATTCATCATCCATTAATTAGTTTAATGGGTCTGATCACAGGGCAAAGAGTAGCAGAGCCATGGTTAGAACTATCATATGATCCAGCAATCCCACTTCTGGGTACCCAAAGGAAATGAAATCAGTATCTTGAAGAGATATCTGCATTCTCACGTTCATTTCAGCAGTATTCACATGGTCCTTCTGCTTTGGGAATGGCAATAGTTTATCATTGTGGGTTTCCCTTGAAGAACTATCTCATACTCTCTGATTAAAGCAGCCTGTGGTTGAGGAAATGAATTATGTAAATCCCACATTTTACTTAGATTACTCCCTACACATCTGAGCTAGGTTAAGATGCTCTGTGGTGATCATATATCCCCAATACGGATGGAACGGTGGGCATTGTGGGGCTAGAAATGGTACTGCACTGCTTGAAATGTCTGCTGAGTGTGTTACTAAACCTCTGATCATAAGCAAAGACCGCTAAATTACCCAGAGCAATCCAACCTGTGATGCTTAAAATAAATTAAAAGACTGTGTTTAAAAGAGCAAATTTGAAGGCAATTATTATTGCTTTCTTCCCTTTTGGATTCTTCCTCTTGATTATCCCACTTCGCTGCAAGGATTCCTAAATATTGTCACGTCTTAAAAGCAATCTTCTCTCCTTGCTGTATGCACACGCCTAGGCTGTGTGCTGCAGAGAGCATCCACCAGGCTCCTCCTTTCCCAGAATCCCAGGCTGGGTGTTAACTCTTCTCTAGAATAGGAATGGTCAGAAATCAAAGAGGAAATTCTTTTTTTGAGCACAGGGGCAGGGGACATCTGTAACCTGTGGCTGACCATATCTTTTAAACACCCTCTCTTCTTTTTGATAGGGTCTGTAGACTGAAAAAAAAAAAAAGTGCAATGTGAAAGTTGTGAGTTAAGTTTTATTTGGGGCAAAATGAGGACTATATCCTGGAAGACAGCCTCTCAGATGCTCTGAGGAACTGCTCCGAAGAGGTAAGCGGGGGGGCCGGTATATACGTGATTTGGGTGAAGAAGGATAAGGACAATCAAGCAAACATTTTGGCAGAAGGTAGCTGCTAGTCACAAGAAGGTTACTGCTGGTCACGAGGAGCAGGTGTTTCCATTAATGATTTTAGTGCTTTTATGGATATGAGGAAATGCAAGAGCTGGGCTCATAAAAATCTTTTCCTGAAAATATCTAACTATCTAAAAGCCTGTTCTTCCAGTTTTTCCCAGAGCACAGAGTGCCTCATTCCTGAACTCCTTTCAGGGTGTGTTGAAGGTCAGCGACTACAGTGGCTAGTGACCTAAACCTTGTAGAAGCAGATGGCAAGTGCCAATTTTTAGTTGTCTGGTCCCACAGTTTTCGTCTCGTGGTCCCAAAGTAGAACCCTAAAAACTACATTTCCCAGCTTCCCTCACTGCTAGATACAGGCTAGCTTCCACCAATCAGACGCAGACATTCAAAACTCTGATTTGGAAGTAAGCCAAGGGCGGAAGAGAGTTTGAGGGGCATAATGCCAGGGGCACAGGTAGTGGCAGAGGCAATGGAAGAGAGTGCTAACTCCAGCAGTTCTGCAGAATGCTGTAGGGGTAGCAGAGCACGTGGCAGCCATCTCGTCAACCTATCGGAGACCTGGCTTTTTTGCTTAAACAACTCAAGGTGGTTGCTATTATCTGCAGCTGAAAATTCCCTGACCCAATAAGCCCACACAGATAGGTGACGGGACTACACTTGCAAACAAGTGTTCAGGAAAGCTCTCCGTGTAGGGAAAGCTATCTCTCTCTCTTTTTTTTTTTTTTCTTTTTTCTGCGGTACGCGGGCCTCTCACTGTTGTGGCCTCTCCCGTTGCGGAGCACAGGCTCCGGACGCGCAGGCTCAGCGGCCATGGCGCACGGGCCCAGCCGCCCCGCGGCTTATGGGATCTTCCCGTACCGAGGCACGAACCCGTGTCACCTGCATCAGCAGGCGGACTCTCAACCACTGCGCCACCAGGGAAGCCCGGAAAGCTGTATCTCTTAAGTAAAGGTATTCTAATAGTTTTTCTTTCTTTCTTTCTTTCTTTCTTTTTTGGGGGGAGAGGGGGGCGGATATAGTTGATTTACAATGTTGTTTGGTTTCAGGTGTACAGCAAAGTGATTCAGCTATACGTATACACATATCTGTTCTTTTTCAGGTTCTTTCCCCATATAGGTTATTGCAGAGTATTGCTATACAGTAGGTCCTTGTTGATTATCTATTTTATATAGAGTAGTATGTATATATTAATCCCAAACTCCTAATTTATCCCTCCCCCTCACCTTTCCTCTTTGGTAACCATAAGTTTGTTTTCTATACCTGTGAGTCTGTTTCTGTTTTGTAAATAAGTTCATTTGTATCTTTTTTTTTTCGGCCATGCCACGCGGCTTGCGGGATCTTAGTTCTTTGACCAGGGATCGAACGCAGGCCCCCCACAGTGGAAGTGCAGGGTCCTAACCACTGGACCACCAGGGAATTCCCCATTTGTATCATTTTTAAAGATTTCACATATAAGTGATATATGATATTTATCTTTTTCTGACTTACTTCACTTAGTATGATAATCTCCAGGTCCATCCATGTTGCTGCTTATGGCATTATTTCATTCTCTTTTATGGCTGAGTAATATTCCAATGTATATATGTACCACATCTTCTTTATCCATTCAAGGACAGATAAATGGATAAAGGGATTCTAGTCTTGACCAGGTCTTGGTACTTAGGCGTCTGCAAAGGTCAAGGGATTCAAGTGAGCAGTTCTTGTATCTTAGTCAGGGCACATGAGGGAAAAACGATTGCAATTGCAACATAGGATCACATCTACTCTCATGAAACAACCAAACAGGTGACTGTCTAGATGGGGTTATTCCAGAAGCATTGTCTTCCTCTCCCTACCTGAAATGCCACCCTTGGAGGAATGTCCCCTGGGTCTAGAAGGTTGTTTTCATCTTTATGAGTGTCCTACTGGAGGGTGAATCCTGGGATAGGGCTTCCCCTTCATCGTCAGCTGCATGGCGGGCTTTAGTGCACTCAGCTCAGGATCGAGCTCTTGGGAAAGAGGCTCAGGGCGTCCCAAGAAGAGGAAGGACACTGAAGAGTCCTCCACTGAAGAGGAAGGACACTGAAAACACACCTCACATGTTTTCCCTGGTCTGGCTCTGGATAAGTTGGGAATCAATGTGATTTTAAAAGAAATCAGAACACATCACATCTTATGTGGTTCTTTGATAATCAGAACAAAGGCAAGATAAATCTCTTCACCATTTCATATGTGATTTCCCCAAATGAAGGAAATCCAAACATATGGCAAAGAAGCTTTAAAATCTGTTAATGTGTGAATGTCATGATAAAAATGGAACTGGGGAGTGTTGTGAACCGCCAGGCCGTGTTCTCTGAGAATGGAAGGGAATCTCTGGAACTGATCTTTTCCCTTTGCTGCGGAGCTGACTAAATCTGGCTCTGGGGACTACTTCTCGCTGGTTGGCAATGGAATTTTGAAGAAACAGTGTTACTTGCTAGGCTTAAATATACTGAAAGAGGGGCTCAAAATGAGGTAATAGAAAAACTGTCAAATGCTACAGAAAATCTGGTGACTTTAGGTGTTTGAATCCCAGTTCCATCTACTGTGTGACCTTGGGCAAGTCAGCTGACCTATCTCTGTTTCCTTAGCTATTAAGTGAGACAGATCATTTTCAGCTTATGAAACTATTTGGAGGAGAATATCAGTACCATCAGCAAAATACCTAGTCATGGTAAGGGCTGAAGAGATGGGAATTATTATGGCATGAAGAAGGCCAGCGTCTATGTTCAACCTAGCCCATCCGACTGGGTAACGATAAAGCAAGTCTGAGCTTCTAGTAAGTGGCATCTATAAAGGCTCTAAGTCACTACAAGGAATCAGTAAGTGGCTTTCAGAGAGCAAAGCTAAAAATTCAGCCTGCTTTCATCAATGAGCACACAAGTTCACTGTCAACCTGTTTGTTAATCTCAGTATTAATCACTGTCCTCTCATTTGGAATTGAAATAAGAAAACTACCTGCCTTTTGGACAATATGTTTAAGCTTTTATTGTGAATGGGAGCAAGGACTGGAATCTAATAGACAAATAGCCCAGATGTAAAGAACATTAATTGGAACACTCTTTATGGACAATTATTCACAGCACACAAGTTCAAACCAGAAGATGCTGCTTGAAAATCATGACTTTAGTCAAAGTTGAAAGATACAAGAATAGTTAAGTATTTTGCATAAAGGAAACTTGATGACCCAGTAGAACTGATGCCCATAGAACGCAGTCTCTTGAGGGTTTTGTTTTGCTTCTTTGAGGGAGGCCACCGTTGTCAGTATCAGTTCGGCTGGGGGTTCCTTCCTTCACGCTGAGAACCTGGAGAGTCCACCAACTTAAAAAATATTAGAAAGAGTTAAGCGAACGTAGTTAGTGATGCCACAATCTAATGCTAAAAGTAAATCCACCCCAATAAACCATCGGTATCACTTGGGAGACTGGTAGAAAGGTAGATTCCTAGGTCTACCCCAGACCTACAGAACTGGAAACTCTGGGGATGGGACCCAGCCATCTGTGCTCTCACAAGTCCTCCAGATGACTCTGAGCACGTTAATGCTTGAGAACAACAGCTGTCCCCCGAGAGACGTTAACTTCCTCCTTTTGGGGAGCCACTATATTTTCGGGTCTTTTTGTTATGTTAGCTTAACTTGTGTTCTGATATGACTACATATGTGTGTGTGTGTGTGTGTATATATATATATATATATATATATATATGTTTTTTTTAAAGAAAACCTTATTTTTTTAAATTTCTTTTATTGAAGCATAGTTGATTTACAATGTTGCATTAATTTCTGCTGTAGAGCAAAGTGATTCAATTATACATGTACATACATTCTTTTTCATATTCTTTTCCTCTATAGTTTATCACAGGTTATTGAATATAGTTCCCTGTGCTGTACAGTAGGACCTATTCTATGTATAATAGTTTGCATCTGCTAATCCCAAACTCCCAATTCATCCCTCTCCCACCCCCTCCCCATCTTGGCAACCACAAGTCTGTTCTCTATGTCTGCGAGTCTGTTTCTGTTTCGTAAGTTCACTTACACAGGTGTAGTTTGACCAAAGTTGGAAATTACATGTATTATCCCCAGGAATTTGTTACTAAAGTAGCAGCTGGGTAGGGAGACTGCTAAGGAATGTGGGATCTTAATTGTTACTTTGCTTCTTTGGCAATGCCTCATCCCACAAATCAAAGCTAGTTTATGAACTACACAATTCAGTATTATAAACCCATGACTGTAAACGGTAGTCGTGTGGGCAACTTGGGAGGAGGAGGCAATCGGGGTTTCTGCCAGTTCTAAATGCATTGTGGTTGGCTTGTTGTGGCTTCTGTTCAAATTAACTAAGACTGAAGGAAGAATGAGTAGCTCTACTTTTTTTTTTTTGCGGTACGCGGGCCTCTCACTGTTGTGGCCTCTCCCGTTGCGGAGCACAGGCTCCGGACGCACAGGCTCAGCGGCCATGGCTCACGGCCCAGCCGCTCCGCGGCATGTGAGATCTTCCCGGACCGGGGCACGAACCTGTGTCCCTTGCATCGGCAGGCGGACTCTCAACCACTGCGCCACCAGGGAAGCCCAAGTAGCTCTGCTTTTAAAACACTTCTTTGTTCCCATATAGCACCCTTTACCCTCTGAGATGAGAAAACACTTTTCATCCAGATGAGAGCTTATTACACTTTCCAAGATTCTCTGGCAATTCAGGTTCCCCAACGTCCAGACCAGCCATTTGTTTCTAATAAAGGAATTACTGAGATTCTCAGATCAGTTATTATCTGCTCTGTGGCTCCATTGTTTTGACCAGGTGATAATGAAGCCAGGGCCTGGGGTTCAATTCCCACACAGACCAATTAGCTTCATTTTTCTCCAGGAGCCCAGGCTGCACTATTAAGGGTCGCCAGGCTGCCTGAAGATGCTGCCATACGGCCTCTCCCGTTGCGGAGCACAGGCTCCGGACGCACAGGCTCGGCGGCCATGGCTCACGGGCCCAGCCGCTCCGCGGCATGCGGGATCCTCCCGGACCGGGGCACGAACCCGTGTCCCCTGCATCGGCAGGCGGACTCTCAACCACTGCGCCACCAGGGAAGCCCCATGACTCTTTCTGAATTATGGTTTTCTCAGGGTATATGCCCAGCAGTGGAACTGCTGGGTCATATGGTAGTTCTATTTTTAGTTTTTTAAGGAACCTCCATACTGTTCTCCATAGTGGCTGTATCAAGTTACATTCCCACCGACAGTGCAAGAGGGTTCCCTTTTCTCCACACCCTCTCCAGCATTTATTGTGTGTAGATTGAAGCTGGCCATTGTGACTGGGAGGCACTGTTTCTGAGGTGGGAGCCAGCAGAGTGAAGCTGGCCCCCGCCTTCATAGAAACAGGGTAATCAGAAGCTTTTTAGTTACTCTTTCCCTATATTTGGAGCTTCCGTTGGAGCATTTCACATATTAATAAATAGAACCTTTCTATTCTCTGTACTGATCTGATGGGACAGTGGGATCTCTCCCTTAAAAGTGAGAGCAAATTTGTACATTTACGTCCTTTCCATAAAACCCCCAGCAATGCATTCCCCAGTTCCCTTTCCTCATGCTCGCCAAATAAGAGAAAAAATCCTAGGCTTCAAAAAACAATGAACTGGGTCCCAATTACAAAAGGAACCCAAAGGCTAACCTCAACCTTCACTGAAACTCAGGACAGTCCACAGCCGCATCCAGGATCATGGATCAGGGCCTGGAGCTGAGCTGAGCACTGCTTCATGTTCTAGAAACCACAGGGTAAAAGTTCCATTAACTTTTGTGAGAAGGGTTACGTTAAAAGATTTAGGTTCACCTTGAAAATGGTTGGCCATAATTGTTGCTAAACACTTCCTGTTTGCTGTGACATAGTAGTCTAGATTCAGTGTGCACTTACATGAACCTTTTCTGAATCAAGTAAATATCTTTGTCATCAAAATGTAGGAAGATGCTCAGTTTCTAACTATAGCTCTGGGAGATTTGGCCACAGGACTTGATGTTTTGTTACTAAAACGGGAGAGGGGAGTATATGTGGATAGTTTTTTAAGTTTAAGAAAAGTCCTCAGCCTCTGAAAATCCCTGCTGCTAGTTCTTTTTTTTTTGCGGTACGCGGGCCTCTCACTGTTGTGGTCCCTCCTGTTGTGGAGCACAGGATCCGGACGCGCAGGCTCAGCGGCCATGGCTCACGGGCCCAGCCGCTCCGCGGCATGTGGGATCTTCCCGGACCGGGGCACGAACCCGTGTCCCCTGCATCGGCAGGCGGATTCTCAACCGCTGCGCCACCAGGGAAGCCCCATTTCAGTGTTTGGCCAAGAATAGGCCAGGCCAGCCGGGGCTCAAGAAGTCAATCACAAATTCCGAGAGCCTTTAGAACCACGTGATCTATTCACAGACAAGGGTGTGGACAAGAGAATTAGTCATTCAGGGCTCTGTACAAAGTTGATACTTATTTCTGTATTGCTTGATTGAATCCTGATTTTCTCTCTGAATAAAGGCTACCAGAGACTTTCTCTCTAGGTGCTTAATGCAACAAAGGAACTTTTTTTTGCTCTGCATTTAGCACAGAGAATCCACAGTAGACCGAAGAGTGGTGACACATAAAGCCTCCCTCTGGAGAAACCATCCGAGGCTTGGCCACGCCAGCCCTGAGCCTCTGTTAAGGGGTCATCAATCAGAGTTACCCACCATGAAAGAGGGACATGGTGAACTCTCCAAGGTCTGTGAGTGAAACACAATATTATTTATTGGCAGAAACATCGAGAGGGAAAGCTGCACTGCATCCTGCATCCTTCATATTTAAGATAAATGAGGACCATTCCCAGAAGATGCCTCACATGGCAGTGGACTGGCCAAGGCAGACAGCACGGGCTTTTCCCTTGAAAAACTGCACAACTGGTCTCAGTTTCCTCACCTCTAAAATGGAGAGAATAATAGAATCTTCCTGAATCTTTCTCCTAAGACTGCTGTGAGCATTACCCGAGGAAATGGATGAAGGTAAGGTGTTTCACCCAGTACTTGGATTATAAAAAATACTAAAACTAGCAGTTGTTATTATTAGGAGTATTGTAATGATTATTTTTGCCTTTTATCATAAATTTCATGGAAACTTCTTAAAAGTTAATGAGAATCACATCATTTTCAGTTGCCTTGCTTTCTTCCTATAAATTTTATTCTCTTCTATCTCATTTACTGTCTTTGTATCTAAGCAATGCCAATTTGTTATAATTCTTTTCCCCTATCCTCTATAAAATCATATACTGAACAGATCAGTTGACCTGAGATATTTTCACCAAGTTTTGAAATATTAGGATGAGACCCGAACTAGGTAATCTTGGAACAAATATGAAGGAGTACTATTTTGCATCAAAAGTAGCAAACAGGAATGCTCTCTTCCAAAAGCTTCTGTGAATAGGCCCTTCCACTAGTGTTCATCAAAAATAAACATATCGGGCTTCCCTGGTGGCGCAGTGGTTGAGAATCTGCCTGCCAATGCAGGGCACACGGGTTCGAGCCCTGGTCTGGGAAAATCCCACATGCTGCGGAGCAACTAAGCCCGCGCACCACAGCTACTGAGCCTGCGCGTCTGGAGCCTGTGCTCCGCAACAAGAGAGGCCGCGACAGTGAGAGGCCCGCGCACCGCGATGAAGAGTGGCCCCCCTTCACCGCAACTAGAGAAAGCCCTCGCACAGAAACGAAGACCCAACACAGCCAAAAATAAATAAATGAATAAATAAATTTAAAAAAACCATATCTATAGATGCACAGGGATCAACTCAAATAATCTATGGCCTCACTATCGAAATATTTTGGAAGGGTCTGGTAGGCTAAAAAATCCTATCAATGCACAATTGCTAACAAAACTCCTAAATTGGAGTTTGATGTGTTAAGAGGAAAAATAATTTATGATGTTGAAAAGAAAAGCTAGCATGAGGATTGGCCACTCATTTTCTGAGTGTGTACTGATGTCAGCCCGATGTAGTTGCTGTGAAGTCTTACCTCTGAACAGTTATATTCTTCCCTGCTCCAACCTCCCCTCCTTCCAACTCTCCCCAAACACCTCCTACCTCCCCGACCCCTCCTCACCCCACTCCCGCTTCCCCAGTATGTTCATTATACCTTTGAGCCTCGATCCCACGTCTTTAAAGTTGCTGCTGCCCTCTGAATCCCAGGTGGACTGGCGAATGCCCAGGGCTCCCGTTGAGGTGGCTGGTGGCTTCTGGTCCCCTTTGCTTCTAGGAGGCTTAGCAAATTCCTTGTAGCTTCCTGCCACCGAATGTACTCCCTCAGCTGCTCCTTCAGGCTCCCTCCCTCATAAACATACAGGGACTCTCCTGTGCTCTTTTTTCCCATTAAATGTCCTGTTCAAAAACAAAAACAATATATAGCCAATATTTTATAATAACTGTAAATGGAGTATAACCTTTAAAAATTATGAATCACAATGTTGTACACCTGTAACTTACATAATTTTGTATGTCAATTATACTTCAATTTAAAAAAAATTCAATGCCACATTCATAAAGAAATAAAACAAGCATATACTCTGGTTCAAAAAAACCCCAACAAAAACAGAATGCCACAAATTTAACCCAGGGGAATGAATGAACAAGAAATTAAAAAGGGCACCAATTGTGTTTGTGCTGCTTTCTCCTAAATGTGGGATAAATAGCATTTTATTGATATTATTAGGAGATAGTTCATAAACGACTGACAGATTTTGATCCGTGTTCAAAACGCCTAATGAATAGACAGAATTCAGAACTGCAACTCAGAAGCCCTGGGTCTGGTCCCAGCCCCTCTGCTAACTAGCCAGGTGACCTCTCTCAAGTCATTTAGCATCCCGAACCTTCAATTTTATCAAATAAAATGAACATGTTGGACCAGATGACATCGAAAGAACCTTCCATATCTAAAATTCTATCACCATTTCTGTGTGCACCAAATTCTATTCCCAGCTGAATGATGGCATTCGAACATCTACCCCAGTCAATCTCGAATTGTTCCTGAAAAGAAAAGTCTCCGTGCTTTTCTTTGTGTGATTAAAAAGGTGTTGCTCAGACTTCCCTGGTGGCGCAGTGGTTAAGAATCCGCCTGCCAATGCAGGGAACACGGGTTCGAGCCCTGGTCCAGGAAGATCCCACATGCCGCGGAGCAACTAAGCCTGTGCACCACAACTGCTCTAGAGCCCACGAGCCACAACTACTGAGCCCACATGCCACAACTACTGAAGCCTGAGCGCCTAGAGCCTGTGCTCCACAGCAAGAGAAGCCACCGCAGTGAGAAGCCCGAGCATCACAACGAAGAGTAGCCCCCGCTCGCGGCAGCTAGAGAAAGCCCGTGCGCAGCAACAAAGACCCAACGCAGACAAAAATAATTAATTAATTAAAATTAATTAATTAATTAAAAGGTGTTGCTTTCCTCTTACCTGTAATACAAACGTAGCAAAGGAATTTTTCATTTAAATTTTCTTAGAACTTTAGCTGAGACTGAACCTAGAAATTGCACCTAGAAATTGTACCTAGAAATTACAGTTTGTAATGAAATACAGGTTGAAGACAAGTTTTGGCCAACACTTTTCAGCCATATAAATGCAGAATTTTCTCTTGGAGGTCTAAAATGGTCACCAAAGTTTATCATTAGCTCCAGAGATGAGCATTTGCCATATAAACAAATAAAAGTTGCTGTGCAGGAGGCCAAACCACTAAAAACATGGAAATTCATGTATGCAAATGGGGATAGCCTTAGGGTCAGAAGGGTATGGTATTGAAGGTCTGTATTCTTTACATTTTAGCCCATTGCTTGAATATACTCACATTATCTTATTTACTTTCTTCAGTTGATTTTCTCCATTTCTCTGTAATTGGGTTTTATAGCACTTTCAAATTTCTAACACTAGTAAAACTATGGTGCTTTTGATTTAAAGCTCACAAGGAGAGAGCTCTCTGTGGCTCCAGTGTTGACTGGCATTAGAAGTATGTAAGGCAAGCATCATGAAAATAGTACGTGGCAGACCTCAGTCACTGCAAATGGAAGGAGGCCCCTTCCCAGCTGTTCTGTCCACCAAGAGAGAAGCCCTCACAGTAACTCTATTGCTTGTGTATGTATTTACAGTTCACAGGATGTTTAAATGCAGATTATTTCATTTGATCCACACTGTACTAACTTTGATGAAAATGAGACTGGCCAAAAGTCACATACATACAAGTAAAGATTCTGGGATTAAAATCAGCTCACAGTCCAGACTCTATGATATTGTACTGCTTTGAAGTGTCTTTGAACTTCCTAAGGATATACGGCAGTTAGAAATCATTCTGGGGTCTGGAAATAAGGATAAGGTCTGCCAAAGCTTTCTAATATTATCAAAAGGAATGGAGATCATATATCACTAGATCATGACTCAGTTATGCAACTCAGAAAAATTAATTCTGTGTGTACTGGGGAGCCAGAAAATGAGGTTTTCCTGCATTGCAGTGTGAGCTTTGCCAAGTCACTTAGGACCTGACGCTGCACACAATTTTAAGAGTCTATTAAGGACACTGTCCCAACTGAAGCATTGGAATCTTGAAAAACTGGCTCCTCACTTATCTGCTTGGTGAACTCGGTACCCAGATATCTACTAAATAACTTTGCATTTAGCCATCACAATGATTATGTTCCACAGCCTCCCAGGAAGTAGCAAATCATTTGGCTTAGAAATATGGAGGAAATCGAATCATGATAATGGGAAAGTGGGATTAGAATCTGATGCTCCCAGTAATAACCTCAGTTGCTCTTGTCCTCGGTCATTGTCTATCATCTGGTTAGGATGCTGGAAATGAGAAAGGCGTTATTGGCAATGAAGCAGAGGGATGATAGAGATGTTTTTACAAATAACTTCATTTTTGTCATGCTTGAAGAATTCTGTGACTTTTCTACAATGGAACGCTAAAATGGGCCTCCATTCTGTGGGTGATTTAACATAGATCTTTGGGACCTTGTACTGAATTTCAGTATTTGCATATTTGGTGGATGGGTGTTCAGACTCCCTCCCCTAGACCACAGATGTTTTTCTTTTTTCTAAGGAAAGTGCGCCATCTAGAACGTCCCAGGGAAGCACACGTTCCCTGGGTCCTAATGCACTTCTTAGCTAGCTAACGTCAACCAAATAATCGTCTCCATGGCAACGTGGACGCTATGCCCACTTCCATCTCTTCTCCCATCATCATTTGTTATGTATCCATATAATAATAATGGAGATCAAAAGATAGGCACTTGAAAAAATAAAACCTCGCCAGGCGTAGGGGGGAAGCTTTTGTCCTCTTTAATCACTTAAAAATACCACTAAAATGGCAGGTTTGCAACAGAAAAGAATTTTCTTGAGCTCCATACTTGAAGATTATCCTAACTTCAGAAAACATCCATTAAGACAGAAAGTGTTGAGTATTAAGAGCTAGTTTTTCTGGAGTGATACTTCAGCTGTATTTCACAGTAGCTCGGGTAGCACAAGCATGTAACACCATTCTGCAGCTGAACACTGGTGCTCAGCATTCAACCCTCCACGGCACGCTCCACATCAGAGTTAGAACCACGACCAGAAACATTTCTTGGGTGCACAGGGGATAGTTACCAGTGTTAGTGTTGACCTATATTTTCATGGCACACAAAACATTTCCATGAACATCGAGACAGATAAGAATTGGTTACGTTTTCAGTCTGTTAACTTGTTTTTCCATGGCCACATCACGTTTCTCTCGGCTGGAAGAAGCAATTCACTTAACAAACCTGCAAGTTTGTGCTAACAGCTTCTTCACAGACAGCAATATGTAGCTTTCGTTTGCATTAATTAAAACTAACCTTAATTAAAACTAACCTCCATGTCTTCAGTGACTGAGGAGGACAGGAATTTACTTAGGGCAGAAACCTCAATTTAAAATCTAACATGGCATTCATGCTTATGAATGCTCGCATTCCAACAGAGGGCATGTCCACCCAAAGCAAACTTGTGCCACTGCAATGTCATCTTAAATCTAAATGCAATTTTCGATGTCACCTCCCTCTTTCCCTTGTTCTTCATCAACTCTGCACAGTCAAGGGAGAAAAAGGAAAAAGAGTGTGTTCGAGAACAAATAAGAGAATAAGACAATTTAGGGGTGTCACTGGTCAGTACACTTTGGGGCTGGGAATGCCCAAGTACCACCATGAAGGGTGATGAAATGGCCGACACCTGAAAGACCTGGGGACTGATGTGCTCTGGAATCACGTTGGCTTGCATCAGAAATACCATGATTATAGCTTCCCAGCTAACTCTCTTGTCCTGCGTTTAGCCTGCAAGGGTTACATTAACAATAAGTCTTTTTAGGGCTTCCCTTGTGGTGCAGTGGTTGAGAGTCCGCCTGCCGATGCAGGGGACACGGGTTCGTGCCCCGGTCCCGGAGGATCCCCCGTGCCGCGGAGCGGCTGGGCCCGTGAGCCATGGCCGCTGAGCCTGCGCGTCCGGAGCCTGTGCTCCGCAAGGGAAGAGGCCACAACAGTGAGAGGCCCGCGTACCACACACACACACACACACACACACAAAAAAATATATATATATATATATACACATATATATATATATATTTAGTACAAAAACATGGATGAGCAAAAGAGGCTGGAAGTCTGGAAGTTTCATTCCACCTTCCCAGCCCACTGGCTGCTGGCCGCACTGGACAATGGCCACTTGATCTAAACTCCCAGGAGCCCTTTCTAAGCATCGATTCCATTCTAGGTTTGGCTTCTTTAACATCTTCTAAGTATCCTTCTCTCTGGAAGTGCAAGGGTTTTCACCCATCCCAACCCTTCCTCTCTATACCAGGCTCCTGGGTTCCGGGTGTCCCTCAAAGATGACAAATACTTTCATTCCTGGGGTTGCCAAGACTTGGCAAATGATTCTTTCAGTAATAATGAAAACTACTCTATCGCAACCCAGAGCGCTCCATTTCTCTGAGGGAAACCTACACAGCGCACAGGAGCTGAGGACGCGCAGTTCTAGCTTCACCCCATCTTCTAAATTCATCCTAGTCTTCACCCCGAGAGCCTGTAAATCCTCTGAGAGTTGAATTAGCAAGTATCTTTCCAACACACCCTCCCCTACTTCTAAGTAGATGACTAAGGAAATCGTGAAACGCACACGCACACGTACACACACACACACACACACACACACACACACACACACACACACACA